AGAAAGTCATTTTTAGTCAAGAAAGTCATTTTAAGTCAAGAAAGTCACGAAAAACATCTGTAAAGGATCATTAATAAAAAAATAAAAAGTTGTGATTTTTTTTCAATCTCGATGACACATACTCCAAATTTTTGTTTACTTTTTTTCAAAGACAAACGCATATAAAACAGACGAAACGAACAGATACATATATATTGCAGGTAAAGTTGGCATATCATTTTGAGAACTTCAGAGCTAACAAAAAACACAATAACGTAAACACGAATGGAGTTAAGAATGATGATGAGAATGAAAGAGAAGATCTGAGTGACAGAGTAGAAGTAATCATAGTGTGTGTAAAGGATTCTTAGCGAAGGTTAGTTTTTCAGTAAGATTATGATGTTATGCAATTATTCAGTCTGATTTTATCTTCAGCTTCACCACACTTATTGAGATCTCTCATCTTCACTCAGATTTCGGTCCTCGGCATCATCATCATTTGTGATGACGAAAGATAAACGAGATCAAAAAATTAAAGAGTTGTCAAGACCAAAACATAAAAACTTACTGGAACCAGACTGGCACCATGAACAGGAAAACAAAGTTTTTTATTAAATTTTCCTTAATTTTTAGCAAACTAAGTCGTAAATTACATCATTTCCTTAATAAAATTGATCACATGAATAGTTGTTAATTTATAAATTCCAAGATTCTAATAGTAAAGTTTCAAGATTGTGATGTTTTCTAAGGCATGCTTTGAGTTATGGAAAACCTAATTAAGCGATTGGATAGAGATCATCGAATTGTACTTGAGATAAGAATAACAACATTGGAACAAGTTTCTGAATAAATCCTACCCGTAAATAGTCGAATTTGGATTCAACTTCACCTACGTTTTCAACTGATTATGAGAACAGTGAGTGCAGAGATTGAAATTATGATTATCTTCACTGTTTATAAAACTGAAGGGTGTCAATATTGAAAGTAACATTCGAATATAGCAAGATATATTGGTTTTAAGATAAATGACTTTCATGACTTTTAAAGTCATCAAAGTCATTTTTAAGTCAATTAAGTCAAAAGTCAGTCGTTTCTCCCTTGTGGTAAAGACATTTTATCGTAGCCATAGTGAAGGCATAATATTTCTTTAACTCATCAATCATTATATATAAGTTTGGATTAGAGGTGGTAATATTCACATTAAGTTAGTGGTTCAATCCTTTCGATGTAGGAGTTGGTGTAGGATTAGGGAAGTCTAATGTTTACACCAACATGCTCTGATCAATAGCGTTTTTTCTGGTCTTTGTACTGATGATAACACTCGTTTTAAAAATGTCACATAGAGTCATTACCGTTTAGTTTATTTCTTTTTCTCCAAGATAGGATTTCTTCAATAAAATTCTGAAATTGTGTTGATGAAAAGGAAAGATATACAACAGATTTGAAATTGTAGGAGAGAAATAATTGATCATGATATGAAATTAGTGATCATGCAACTGCATCATCGCTTGTCTATTATATATTTTTTTAAAAATAAATTACCTTATTTTTGAAAATGTTATTCTTAAGAATTCTCTAGTTCTATGATTTGTCTTCAAAAGAAATATAAAGATAAAATGATAACTGTAGTTCTCATATTCATTATTTTCTCAAATTTTCATTCTGTATGTTCGTCGTTTTTTGTTATTTAATTTTATGTATAAATACAATGAATGTAATACGATAATATAGGAGTACTCAAGAACTCTTCAATATTATATGTCGAGTGATTCATTATGTTGCTTATATATAAAGATTTTAGTACGAACATTCATGTGTTCTTGCGGCATTTTCTAGTGTAAGTGTTCGTTTGATGAGTACCTTTACTGGTATGGATAGCTTGAAAAATTCTGATCAAATTATTTATTTGCCATATTTTAAGTTCCACATAATTAGGAAAATATATGATCGATAATATGACAAATCGGCAAAAAGCTTGTATTCGTGTTTTCGACATAATATAAATCATATCTCGAGAACAAAGAGACTTAAACACGAACTCTTTTCGAATCTTTTTAATCTTACTGAATTCTACTGACAATCGAAAACAAATGAAATCGAATATTCACAATTATTTGGGGTAGTTTCCTTATTACTATGTCATTTTTTTCTTTAAAATTTCATCAACTTAACTTTATTTGATAATGTCAATAGTACAAGAACTTAAAAGAGTACTCATGCTATATCACCTTATCAATAAAATTTTGACTAAAAGAATTTTTATATGATTTATAAATAGTTTTTTTGTCAGGCAGTATTTTATTTGTTCACATATTAATCAAAACTATAAAACAATGCTTCAAGTTAAAAGTCACAATTGGACCGGTATGCAATACATCATATGGATCAAAGAGATGTCAGAGCCACACTACACACATGTCAAAGATAATTAAAATATATTTCTAGCTCAGTACGACAACTACATTGATTTTCTTTCTAATTGATATTCTTTCAAATGATAGCAGGATGAGTATAAGAACTTCTAGGCTATAAAAATTTTCACTTGAATTACCTAAAGAAAAAAAATTTTTACCAATATTGAGTTGAAATATGGTATTATCTTGTACATTGCAATATTAATTTTAATAGGCCATGATAGAACAAACATAATAAAGAAAGAAAATATTGAGTGGAATGATTTCTCTGTTCTGTAAATATAATTTATGCCCCTACACCGATGCTTAGAAAGTCATGATTTACTTATCGAGTTATATATATATATATAGAATTCAAAGATATAATACCAGTAAACTTTCAGGTAAGTACCAATATTATATACTATTAGAAAGATCTTTTCAGATTCTTTTATCTATTCTTGTTAAAGTAAATTAGAGTATATATCTACTTACATTGTATAGGAAGTCTTCCAATTATTATATCAGTATTTTTTTCTGATGACATTTGTTATGTTATGTAGTGATACATTAACTATTCTATGTAGTTTTAAATTTGCATACATATCGATCAATTATACATTTTCGATTAATTCATATGTGTGTTTTATGTAAACTTATGTTCGATAATACATATTCATATGTAACTTCCTATGTATTATTTTGTCTTCTGACGACATTTTCGTTCGATTATGATAATACTAATTAACAATTTTTTTTTCTTTTGAAAGAAAAAATAAGAAAATTAGGTCAAAATATAAATGATATAGGCAAAGAATCGCTTAATCCTATGTGTTATAATAGAAGACTAACATATTCGATCGCGTTCGAACAAATAAAATGGTCTTCCGGCTTAGTATTTTTCATATTGATTTTGTTTACCAGATAGTCAACACATTGTAGTTCTGTATCGATATGATTCTCACTATCAATATTATCAAATTACATTGCAGCCAGCGGCATAGCTGAGGGAGGAGCAAATGGACAAAATGCTAGATGAAAAATATAAAAATCAAAATTTTTTTCCGAAATCAGAAACTAATCAGACAGAGTAATTTTTTGCAAACCAAGGACTATCATGTTGATATACTAGTACAAAAGGCTTCACTTTTCTTTTTGTTTATCGACTCATACTTTGTTTCTGAAAGTATTTCATAGTAAATAAAGACAACACAATCATTATATAGATTAGAATAAAAAATCGTATACTGTAAGCTAAGAAGATTGATCACAGTCGGATCAAATGAATGTTCTCACTGTCAAACCAACTAATTAAAAATATGAGCTACCGATAGCGTACACACACAGAGATATTCGAGTTTCAAGAAGTTTACAGTTTGTTATGTGTCCACACTAAGAAATTTCATCAACGCTTAGTTTTCTTTTTTCGTCATGATTGGATGGGACAGGGCTATTTACATAAGAAAAAACAATATCACGCATACTAAAAAGCAAACTCTACGAAGTTTAAGACGACATTTTTTTTTAATTATGAGAATAATAACCAAAAAATATTAATTGTTGTCAAATTGCTTTTGAATGTGTGTGATATTGCTTCTCCTTATGCAAATAATCATATTCCATCCAACCATGACGACAAAAGAAAACTGAAGGTTGACGAAATTTCGTAGTGTTGGCACATGAGAAACTGTAAATATCTTAAAATTTAAACATCTCGATCTGTGTACGCTATCGGCAGCTCATATTTTAAACTAGTTAGTTAATACAAAAACAAGCTAGTAAAAGACACCTAGTGTCGGATTCTTTTACGAAGTCCAAAACTCTGTTTACGAAAAATATATGCAAACACATCATATATATATATGGGCAATGTAGAGCAAAAAATAATAAAGGCTATAGAACATAAATTCCATATGATTTTTCAAGTTTTCTTTTGTTCAAAATTCCTTCAATAAATGTTTTTGAACTAAAATATGTTTACAAAATCGTTCCAAAAGAAAATAATTAGCATTCATTCTTAAGTTCAGCAACGCAAAAATTTATTGATATATTAAAGCACTCGTCAGTGGCTGTAGAATTCAGAAACTGCAAAAGTTTAAAAAAGGAAAGAAGGTAGCAGAATACGGATCTATAATATTAACGGGTTATACTAGTAATTAATTTCATTAATAAAGTCACCATCCAAAAACGTTTGAAATTCGACAACAAATCAGAAAAATCAAAAGATCAGAAAAAAATCAGAAAAATGTTCAAATTTCAGAAATTTTCCTGACTTTTCAGAAGATCTAGTAATCCTGATTTTAACTGTAAGTTTGGATGAACGTGAGTTCGGTTTTATTAGAAAAATACTAACCACGTAAAGGTACAGAAGAATAAATTAAAGAGAAGAGAAACACGAACATATATATGCGTAGGTATATATCCATATAGAGTGACGCATAGAAGAGAAAGCAAAAATCCAATGACGTAGTTCGTAGGGAAAATGTTCATGTGTACTGCACAGATACATATTTGAAAAATTCTCAACACTAACTTATGTCATTGATTTCTTTCGACACAAGAAAAGTTTGCCTATTGATCTAAGAATCCTGGTTACGCTGCTGATTACAGTGTTCTGACGAACTACGTAGGGGACGTCCTTGTTTGATCGACACTTTCACTAGGATCCATGTGGCTCTCATGAGTGATGAGGGTCGTTTATAAGTCTTTCTAGTATGGGCTTCATTCTCTTCGTTTTAAATCTGTTCGATCGATCTGCAATTTTCAGCACGTGTACAGCACATTATTTTAGGCCATTTCTATATGTTTCAGCTTCATTCATTGATTTTAAGTTAGTATCGACTTTGAAATCATTCTTTTTTAGAACTTTAGTTATATAAAAGAAAATATTTCAAGACATTGCATATACAATTTGATAGAAAGTTTAATTCTGAAATAACGTTTGAGTTAGAGTAAAAAGGTTGTCGAAAATATTTGAGAATACTATGTCATTGAGTTCAAGTTTAGATACAATTTGGGTATCATTTCATTTGTTGTAGAAGCCGCTTTAACCTCATTTTATGAAGTTTTGGGTTGACCTTATAACTGTAGATAGAGCAGTCATAAAAACCTACAAAATGGCATAAAAAAGTCGTGAGAAACAGTCTACCTTGTCTTATTTTTAATCACCATAACAAGCAGCACAATAAAATATCAGTGAAATCCTGGAGAAGCTCTCGTGCATTTAGCCGTTTTCAAAATAGTTATTTTATTTTTATGTAAAATAAATGACATATTTCAAATTAACATAAAAATTTGAGTTGAATAGTATATATACTTCAGTAAAAAAATTTTATTTAACAAAAAACTCATCTGTACTCTCGTTAGATCATTTTTTTAAATATTTCACCTCACGGAGGGACAGATGAGTTTTTGTCAAAGAAAATTTTTTCACTGTTATATATGCTATTCAACTCAAATTTTTATGCTAATTTGGAATATATCGTTTATTTTGTATAAAAATAAAAAATAATTATTGTGAAAATGGTTAAATGCGTTAGAATACCTGCAGAATATTATTCACATTTTATCGTATTGCATATTACAGTGATTGAAAGTGAGAGAAGACACTTTTGCAAGCGTTGTTTTACATTATTTCGTAACTTTCTAATTAGACCACATCAGCCAGGCAACATGCCTCCACCCTTTGACCTTTCTTAGTTCCACCGTTATTTACTCATCCAATTCTTATTTAATTTTAGATAATACATTAATTTACAATGAAAATCCTCACTGTTATACTAGCTATTGTTACAATATCCATCTTAATCTCTATCATTGATGCTGTTGGTAGCAAACAAGTAAATGATAAAACATAAAATAAAACTTTTTTTTAATCGTTATCATCAATTTATTTAGTTCTTAACAAATTTATTCCCAGGTTGGCATTTTAAATCATTTTTAGAACCCAAACGACAAGAATCATTATTTAATAAATACATAAAATTAAGAAAAGTATTTTCAACATCTGAAAATAATCTGCTGAAACAAAAAGAAAACGATGAGGATAATTATGCACGGACATGTAAGAACGTTTGTATTATTAAAATAAAAAGAGACATGTTGTTTTTTACTTAGATATTCGTCGTAAAGTGATTGGTATTGCCGATAACCCATTTTAATCGTAATTCTACATTGATGATATTTTAATCAAAACAAGCTGTTTCATATTCTATGATTACCTTACTTTTTGATTTTTTTTATGTGGTAATTTTATTGTTTAATTTTTGTTTATTTGAAAATGCATGCATTCATTTATCGACGTAGAAACGGTTTTGAATGAGTTTGCCTTATGTTAATCATTATTTTCATCTATATACACTCGAATCAATCATGCTAAGTATACAAAGTTAAAGCTAATAATAAAATATATAGAAATATAAAATAATACGATTAATAATCTTTTATGGTTCAAATCTAAGCGTGTATTATAAAAAGAAGGAAGATAAACTACATCTGGATGTGTAAGCTGATTGGCTAAGCCGCCGTCGCTAACGTTCAAATCATTCAGTCGTGCCGTAAACGTTGCCCAGAATAGTTGCTGAAAAGTGTGTGTAACTTTTGGTACTCGTGAGGGTGTGGGTGTAGGTGTGGGTGTGGGTGGGTGTGGGTCTAGGTATGAGTGTTGGTATTAATTTCACGTCCACACCCACACTCACACCACTATTTTCTGACTCTTAGTTCTCGAGATAATCACGACGGAAAATGACTAATAAGATGCGCACGTAAAGTAAGTAAACTAAATGACACACGGGCTAGGCCCGTGGTGTGAACTCAGTGCGAAGCACAACCCCAAACTGAACTTATCGTTTATGAAATTATAAAACTTTCGAATTGGTCGAAATCGAAAATTTAGGGAAGAAAAAACATATTTGTATATTGTACAAACTAGAACGATGAGCTTAATGCATGTTTCATTATATACGCCATACATCAGTTATTAGGAAACAAACTGGATATTACACTATTTAAAAATTGATAGACATTGTCTCAAAGCGTATGAAAAGATGCGGCAGAATAATGCCGTTTTCCTGCTGCCCTCCCTCCATGGAACTAATGCCGCGAGAATTCATAAGTATTCGCAGACTTTGAATACTCATGCTAAAATCTGAGTGTCTAAGTACAAGAACTGATTAGTCACTGTGTAATATTGAATGTTTCGTGGGTATTCTATGTAGTTTTTGTGTAATCTAGTGATTTATGTAAAATACTCATAAACCTATATTCTGTTCAGTATTGTCGTATTACATCTATTTTATTTAGGTATAAAACTAAATACAGACAAATATAATGAATATTTGAAAAAACAATGAAGATGAGAACTACAGCTATCATTTTATCCATACAGTTTTTTTAAAACAAATAATAGATCTAGAGAAATCTTCTTCGTTAGAGAAGAAAATGAAATATTTGTTTATTTTTATATGATAAAAATAAGATTTTAGTTATTTGTTTAACACACTAGAAGCGATGGGTCCCACCGATGAGGCCCGCCATATTTTAACAAGAAACTGAATAGGAAAACACTTTCTTTTCCTTTTTTTCTCGGGCAAGAGATTACATGTAATGTATCATCTGCTCTGCCTCGCTATTATTTGAATTACTTATTGCATAGCGTGATGTTTCTCGTTGAAACAACCAAGACAATAAAATTTGTCACAATCATGATAGAAGATTTTTATTTTCTTTGCTGTCGCATTTGTCCGATCTTTACTCCTTAGTGTGCCATTCGAGAATATGAAACCTAGTCGGAGACAACAGTCAATAAGCCAAACGAAGCGCAAACTCGTTGATCACAAGCTCGAAGAAAAGGAAGGGTCTGACCACGATGTCCGAAGACGCGGTGCTGACTGCTACGATAAAACCAGACAACAACCATCAAGAGAAGCAAGTAATGCGACAGCAAAGAAAATAAAAAGCTTCTATTCTGATTATGACAAATTTTATTGTCTTGGTTGTTTCAACGAGAAACATCACGCTATGCAATAAGTAATTCAAACAACAGCAAGGCAAAGCAGGTAATACATTACATGTAATCTCCTGCCCAAGAAAAAAGGAAAAGAGAATGTTTTCCTATCCAATTTCCTATTAGAATACGGTGGGTCCTATCGGTGGGATCCATCGCTTCGAATGTGTTAAAGATTTTTATTTTAAAGCAAAGTTTTCCTCAACTATTTATTATTTTAATGTAAATAATAACAAAAAAAAATTCATTTCAAGGTTTTTTCTAACTGTTCTAATTCAATATAATATAAACTACAAAATTATTTATATAGTTTTAATTTAATAAAAAAAATATCGATCAAATACAAATAAATGTTTATGTAATGGATAAAAAAAACATTTAAATCATGCAGCTTTAATTCACGTGCCATCTATTGAACGATAACAGTTTGAAATAACAACAAATTATTTTCAAATTTCATTATATTTCAATTTAGCCATATTAATTAATGAACATTCAGTAGTAAGTGATGAAGATAAGTTTGATAACTAACGTATTTTTAATTTTTTTCTATAATACTAAACGTCTAGCTGAAATTCAGATAATGAATTTAATAGACAACGCAGTTTTCTATCAATACATTCTATATCAAGATTTCATAGATGAACTATGATGGCAAGCTTTGTAAAAATTCGAACACGATAGTTTTCATGTTTGAGAAAACTTCGTTGAAGCTATTTTTAAGAACGCCGTAGTACAGAGAACAAAATTCTGAAGAATATAAGAGATCGCCATATTTTCTACAAATTTCCCTTAGAAAGTTAAAGGCATCACGAAAACCGTCAAAACTTGAAACCTTTTAAGAGGGGTATCTGCAAAATACACGAACAGCTGCGAACACCTTGAAAGGAAAGATAACTTAAACCTATTTATATACGTAGGCAGATAGAACTCGATGAGTTGTGCTCACGAACACCTGCAAACACTTACTTTGAATGGATCCGAAAATAGATTCGAAGAACACAAGTCAAATTTTTTCCGCGAACACCAGTCCAATGAAAATAAACACTCACTTTAACTAATCTTGACGCAAAACGTGTATCACTCTATCGAAAGTATATCTATAAATATCTACTAATATTTGTTTAACCGCACTGTGACTTATATAATCGTCTACGAACACCAAGAAAATGATTCAGAAAATCTGCGAACATCAGTTATTTGAATAGATCTCACTTGAATATACATTGTACAAGCTTCTTACACTGTTTCTGTGAAGTAAAATATATTAAAAATGTGACCAAAATGAAATAATTCAGTTTTTTTAATTTTATCAACAACGTTATGAGTAAAAAAGTTCTTTTTTTTCAGTTTATTAATCATGATTACAGCTTTTGCTTGGGAAGTATGTTTCGCGTACTTTAGAAAGTGCAAGTATGAAGTCTTGGTTGCATATTTGCAACTGATCAGCTTCTTCATACGTAATCTCAATACGTCTTTTATCCACAATATCACGACGCATTGCATTGTATACAGCTAAACGTATAATATGTTCTATTTGAGCACGTGTAAATCCTTCACTATGGCGAATAATGTAATTGATATCGATATCAACTTGTAGTATTCCATTACGAAGTAATGGTTTTGTATATATACTAAATATTTGAAGACGTTCTTGATCGTCAGGTAGTCCTACCTCGATGGTAGCATCTATTCAACCTGATCGAAGAAGAGCAGGATCCACTGAATCGATATTATTCATATAGTTCCAATCAAAAATATATTGTCCAAATGAAACATCTCATCTATTTCCGTAAGTAACTGTAGAGTAACATTGTCTTCGACATTACTTCGTATTCCATCAGCATGATCGGCACATTTTTTACAAACTTCATCGATTTCATCAAAAACAATTGTATGAAGAGGACTGTCGGATCCATACAACTTTTGATCTCGACGAGCATCTGCAAATAAATCACGTATTTTGTGTTCTGATCTGGCTGGTGAATGCTCCTCCTTTTCCTCCTTTTTTCCAAAATATATCCTTCCGCTCATCTTTTTCCTCCTTTTTTTCATTTTGACTGCAAAGTCATCAAACTTTCGATATTATAAGCTTAAAAATTTTTCCGATAATCATATTCTAATAAAAGATGTCTCTTTACTCAACTAAATTCCATACTTCTTGGTTAGAAAAATTGGATTCAGACGATACTTCCATCAAACGATGGCTCAAACAAGGTGCAAATCCATCAACGTTTATTTGTACCTTATGTAAAACTGATGAATTATCTTGTAAAAATAATGGTTGGGAATCAGTTGAACGACACATGAATAATAAAAAACATCGTGATAATTTAAAATTAATAAAGGAAAATTCAACATTTATTATTCGAAATGAACCAGCTGTCACTCAACATCAGCAAGGTTCTTCATCATCAACTGTCCCAATGGTAACACTTACTCGTCAAAATGAGAACATTAGCTTTACAGATCAAGTGACACGTGCTGAAGCATTATGGGCTATTAATACAGCACGTCATGGATACAGTTATCGTTCCTGTGATGACCTGGAGAATTTGTTTAGAAGAATGCTTCCGGATTCACGTATTGCAGAACATTATAAAATGGAACAAACGAAACTATCGTATGTTATATCTCACGGTCTTGGACCATTTTTCCATCGTGATCTTGTACAGGATATTAAAAAATGTGAACGATTTGTTTTATGCTTTGACGAACAGAAGAATTATCAAAATAGTAAACAATTGGATTTATTATTAAAATATTGGAGTGTTGAAAAATAAGGTGTAGTTACTCGTTATTATAAGTCCATTTTTCTTGGTCATGCTCCAGCTCAAACGATTCGAGATGATATTATTGATTCATTTCGAACGGATGGAATTGATATTAAACATTTATTGATGGTTGGGCGTGATAATCCAAATGTAAACAAAGCAATTGAGAAACTTCTCGATACAGAATTAAAACAAGTTGGTGGAGAATTACTCAAATTAGGTTCATGTAATATTCATGTGATTCATAATGCTTTCAAATCAGGTGAGAAAATAGTACATAATCATTTACTAGAAATAACTCTTTGATTTTTTAAGGTACAACAACATCATGTTGGCATGTTGAAGATATCTGCATCGACTTATGGTCTTGGTTCCATTATTC